CGCCCCGCCGCCACGGCGCCAATCAGCGCGCGGCGAGGGGGCGGGGCCGGCGGCGGCGCGTTGTGAGCCTGCGCGGGCAGGGTGCCTTCAGATTGACGGGGATCCCTCCTCCCACGTCCCCGCCCGGCCGTCCTTCCACTGAAGCCTTCGGGTTCCCAACCCAGTGCCCGGAACTCGACCTCCCGCTGCACAGTCCCCCAACTCTTTCTAGGCGTCCAAATCCGGGGACTTTGCCGGTGACCACCCCTTCCATATCCCAAGTCCCACCCAACACTTTTCTGACCCCTCCACATCCAGGAGTCTAGCCACCATCTCTCACCGGGAGGGCTGCAGGACGTTCCGGGGGAATCGCCCACCCCCTCTGTCCCTCAGCCCCAGAGCCCCTTCCCCACACCAGCCAGAGCGACCCTGAGAAGGAAACGGAACGACTCTCCTTCCTCCAGCTGGAGGAGGTTGTCTCGGAGACCACTGTGCTGAGGTTGGGCTCACCCACATAATCCAGGATAATTCCCATCTCAAGGTCTTTAATTCCTTTGCAAAGTCCCTTTTGCCTTGCAAGGTGACATGTCCACAGGTTCCAGGGATGAGGCCGTAGTCGTCTTTGAGGGGCATTATTCCACTGACCACACAAGCCCTGAATAAATCTTAACTGGATGGATGGGTGGATGAATGATGGGTGGAGGGAGACTCGTACCCCACCTCCTCTGTATTCCCAGTGACCCCCACCCAGGACACTTCCAACGTGGGGTGGACTGTTTCTTTCTCCCCATCCCAAGTACGGGGATCTCTGTGGAGTCAGCTAAGTCAGAGAAGTTCAGTAGCTGGTTGGTGGCCCGAGACCCAGCGGCCCATAGTGAGAGGGTGCAGGGGCCGGTGCTGGTGCGGAGAGGGGAATGTCTATGGTGTGGACTCAAAGCCAGGCAGGTGTACCCCAGAACTAGTGGTGGCACCTGGTGAGAAGCAGCCAGCAGAAAGACCTGCAGGGCTGCAGGGGAAGTAATTTTATTTTTAAACTTGCCTTTTAAGTGGTCAATTCTAGGGCTCGGACAGGGTAAATGGAAGTTTAACCAAGAATATCTTGTGGTGCCAGAAAGTATAAGGCGCAAAATTACAAGTGTTGGCAAGGATGTGGCGAAATCAGAACTCTCGTGTGCAGCTGGTGGGAATGTGAGATGGTGCAGCCGCTGAGGAAAACACCACGGCAATTCCTTGAAAAGCTAAACAGATTTTTTTTTTTTTTTTAAAGATGACCGGTAAGGGGATCTTAACCCTTGACTTGGTGTTGTCAGCACCACGCTCAGCCAGTGAGCGAACCGGCCATCCCTATATGGGATCTGAACCTGGGGCCTTGGTGTTATCAGCACCACACTCTCCCGAGTGAGCCACGGGCCGGCCCAAAAGCTAAACCGATTTGCCATGAGACCCAGCAGTTCCACTCCTAGGTATCTCCCTAAAGGAATTGAAAACCGGGACTCAAACAAATACTTGTACACAAATTTCACAGCAGCATGATTCGCAATAGCCAAAAGGTGGAAACAACCCAAATGTCCATCAACTGATGAAAGGATAAACACAACGTGATCTATCCACACACTGGAATATTCACCCATGAAAGGAAATTCTGACACATGCTACAACATGGTTGAGCCTTGAACACGTCAAGCTCAGTGACAGACACGAGACACAAAAGGCCACATAATGTGTGATTCCATTTACATGAAATGTCCCAAAGAGGCCAATCCACGGAGACAGAAAGTGGATTTAATCCTCAGGGACTGGGGAGGGGGACAGAGTGTCCTTTGGGGTGCTGAGAATGTTCTGGAATTAGATAGAGGTGATGGTTGCACAACATTGCGAACATACAAAATATTATAAAATATTATAAAATATTGTACACTTTGAAATGGTTAGTTTTGGTTACAGCGTGATGCTGATAACACCAAAGTCAAGGGTTTGGATCCCCATACTCCGGTGGCCAGAACAAAATAACTAAAATGGTTCCTTTTGTGTTACATGGATTTTTACCTCAATTAAAAGAAAAGAAATGATGGGGGACGCACCAATCAGACAGGCACAGGAACCCACTGGAAGGGGCTACTAATGGCCAAAGACAGGACAATTTGAGCAAAATGAAAGTAGTGGTTTATACCTTGTAGAATAAAATAAACATTTGTGGGTACGTGCTGATAGAATTATTGAATAAACGACTAATGAAGAGAATAGGCAGCTCGTACTCACAGGGAGTCCAGTGACTGATTGTACATAAGGCAATCTTGGGACCCTGCCAGCGAGGTGGGCTCATGTCACCTTCTGGGTTCATGTGGGCTTTGGGAGCCACCACACTGAAGTTTGTGCCTTTGCTTCCAGAACTGAAATGCCAGGACTGCATGGTTCAGAGACATGCAGGGGAAGCCCTCGTTGCTGGTGGGGTCTGCTAACCTGCTGACTCAGGGCTGGGCCACAGGATTTTTTTTTTTTTTTTTTTTTTTTGTCTTTTTGTCTTTTTTCTGTGTCCGGCAACGGATCGCAACCCTCAGTGTTGCCCCCGTACCGGACCGGGGACTGGCGACGGGATCGCAAGCCTCGGCGTTGCTCCCGCGCCTTGCTCAGCCAGTGAGCGGGAGCCGGTCTGTACGTGGGATCCGAACCCTCGGACGGGAGCGCTGCCGCGCTTCCCAAGCGGCGCACTATCCAGTGCACCACCGGGCCGGCCCCACAGGATTTTTATAAGTAGAGTTTAATGGCATTACATACTTTCACCACCACCACCGTCCATCTCCAGAACGTTCTCATCTTCCCAAACCAAAACTCTGTCCCCATGAGACACTCACTCCCAGTCCCCCTCCCCAGTCCCTGGCACCCCCCGTTCTACTTTCTGTCTCTGTGGATCTGACGAGTCTAGGGACCTCCTGTGAGCAGAATCACACACAGAACCCTTGTGTGTCTGGCTTATGTCACTGAGCACAATGTCCTCAGCGTTCATTCACGTTGTAGCGTGTGTCAGAATTTCCTTCCTTTTCATGGCTGACCAGTTCAGTTTACCATTCACCTGTCAATGTACACTTGAGTCGCTTCCACTTTTGGGCTACTGTGAATAAGCTGTTATGAAGATGGGTTTTCAAGTATCTCTTCTAGCTCCTGCTTTCAGTTCTTAGCATCTTTTTTTTTTTTGGAGGCTGGCCAGTACGGGGATGCGAACCTCTGTTACAAGGCTGTGCTCTAACCAGCTGAGCTAACCGGCCAGCCCTCCCTGCCTTCCATTCTTTGGGCATATACCCCAGGAGTGGAGTTGCTGGATATTAAAGTAACTCTGTATGTAACCATTTGAGGAACCGGCAGACTGCTTTCCACAGTGGCTGCACCGTTTTACAATCCCGCCAGCAGCACACAGGGTTCTGATTTCTCCATGTCTTCACCGACACTTGCTATTTTCTGGGTTCTGTTTTTCTACAGTGACCGTTCTGATGGGCCTGAAGTGTTAGGTCATAGGAAATTGACCACCTTCCAAAACACACCCCACGTGCCCCCTCCTTCTCTTCTGGAGTCCAGCCCCTTGGGACTTCACTGCTTCTTAGAGGATCTCTCCTCACTTCCCATAGCAGTGTCTCTCCCCTTCAGCACTGTTGACATTGGAGCCAGATCACTTTCTCTGTGGGGCTGTGCTGGGCACTGCAGGTGCTGAGCAGTGTCCTTGGCCTCCACCAGCTCCATGCCAGGAACACCCCCAGTTGTGACAACCACAGATATCCCCAGACACTGACAAGGGTCCCTGAAAGCCACTCAGCTTATAAGAAACATGGGTACAGGGATATGTTAAGTGACAACACAAGTACATAGTTGGCAAGTACATATTTTGAGAAACTCTACAAATGGCTCGACTTCATTAAGCCCATGGCATGCAACAAAAAGTTGGGATGGTGGCTCTGGATTGACGTGTGTGTGTGTGTGTGTGTGTGTGTGTGGTCAGTATAGGGATCTGAACCCTTAGACCTTGGCATCACAACACCATGCTCTAACCAACTGAGCTAACCGGTCAGCCCTAGATCCACTCTGAAAGATATACACTCGGGCTGGCCGGCTGGCTCAGTTGCTTAGAGCACAGTGTCAGAACACCAAGGTTAAAGGTCTGGATCCCCGTACAGGCAAGCTGCCAAACAAAAATAATAATGTGAGACAGGCACTTCCATACATGTTTTTATGTAGTTTTTTAATGGTTAAAATATCCCCAGAGCATTAAAGTGATTGAAAAAGTATTCTCTCTTGCTCAGGCCATTTCTCTTGCCACATGATACCTTGGTCACCATGGGACTTTGTGTAAAGTTCCCAAGAAAGCCTTCACCAGATGTGTTCCCTGGACCATGAGCTTCTCAGCCTCTGAAACTGTAAGAAATAAATTTTATCTATAAATTTTTTTTTAAAAAATTGAAAAGTAGTTGTATTAAAAGTATTTTAAGGGCTGGCCCGTGGCTCACTTTGGAGAGTGTGGTGCTGATAACGCCAAGGCCACGGGTTTGGATCCCATATAGGGATGGCCAGTTAGCTCACTTGGGAGAGCGTGGTGCTGACACCACCAAGTCAAGGGTTAAGATCCCCTTACCGGTCATCTTTAAATAAATAAAAATGAAAATAGAAAAATAAGTCACAATATTTTAAGCTTAAATACTTTTTTTCTTTTTTGGAGAGGGACGGCTAGCCATTACAGGAATCATACCTGTGACCCTGGTGTTATCAGCACCACACTCTAACCAACTGAGCTAACTGGCAAGCCCTAGGCTTAAATATTCTATTTATATCAAAACCTGGATGTATTAGAATTTTACTTTACTGGCTTTCAAGGAAGCAAGACTATAAATACTGACCATTACAAAAATATATAAAAATATTTCAGTAGGGGCCCATGTTTTCCTTTTGCTTTGGGCTGTAATATGGCTTGGCTAAGCACAGGACATGGAATCAGAACAGGGAAGGCGACAGGGTGGGGCTGGATGGGGACTGTGGTGCTGTCCTCTGCTGCTTGGGCTACAGATGTTGAGAAATGTTGAGGGCCAGCCAGTTAGTTCGGCTGGTTAGAGCACAGCCTTGTAACACCAGTGTCAAGGGTTCGGATCCCTGTACCAGCCAGCCGCCAACAAATAAAATGAAATAAAGAAGTGTTAAGACTAATTCAGTTATCTCACAATTCATCACTGACAGGTATTTATCTGACAGATATACTCAGATAGGTCTCAAATAACATCACCGCAAGGATATTATTGTAATAGCAAGTGACAGGAAATGAGTGTCCCTTGGTAACAGGCTAGTTAATAGACACCAGTGTGGTATGGCCACATGGAATACTAGGCAGCTAAGCGCTGTGTATCCAAGTGGAATGACCCCCAGAAAACAAGCCTTAAGCGGAAAGAAAAGCATGTTCAAGGCTGGCCAGTCAGCTCAGTTGGTTAGAGTGTGGTGTCGTGAGACCAAGGTTCAAGGGTTCAAGTCCCCATACTGGCCAGCTGTGAAAAAAATAAGAAATAAAAAAGGCATGTTCACACACGATAATGTGTAGCAAATGCCACCATCTGTGTTAAATATCTGTTCTAGACTGAATGTGCCCCCAACAAATTCATATGTGGAACCTGTAAACCCCAATGACTATATTTGGAGGTGGGCCTCTCTGGAAGTAATTAAGATTAAAAAAGGTCATAAGGGTGGGACCCTGATCTGACAGGATTAGTGTCTTTACCAGAAGAGACACCAGGGAGCTCCAGCTGTCCATGTGGGCATACGGTGAGGAGGCCACCATCTGCAAGCCAAGAAGGGAGCCCCCCCAAGAAACCCACCCTGTCAGATCTTGATCTTGGACTTTCCAGCCTCAGGGAGTGTGACAGAATAAATTTATTTTTGTTTTGTTACTTTTCTTTCTTCCTAAGAGAATATGTTTCTGGTATTTAAGCCATGCAAAATTTGTGACATTTTTTTATGGCAGCCTGGGAAGAATAACACAATACTATTTTCACAACTATGCCTATATATGCTTAAATGTTTCCAGAATTTTCAAGCTGGCAAGAGCTGGAGAGACCTGGGCCAGAGCACCAGGGAGGGAGCGTGTCTTTGCACAATATACCCTTTTGTACCTGTTCATTTTTGTGCCCCTCCTGTGATGGTTTAAAATGTCTACAAACTCTGATATTCTTCCCTTCAAAACAAAGAGCCTAATTCTCTTCCTTCTGCGTGTGGACTGGACTTAGGGAAGGTTAAGGTCATAAAAGCACGGTGGCTCCTCCTTGCTCTCTTTTGGATCACCTGCTCTGGGGAAGCCAGTGGCCATATTGTGGGCAGCTCAAACAGTGCTATGGAGGGGCACCCCTGGCAAGTAGCTGAGGCCTCACACCAATGGCCATGTCACGCAGCCAGCTTGAAAGTGGCTCCTCCAGCCCTGGTTAAGCCGTCAGATGAGGCAGCCCGAGCCAATGTGTTAACTGCAACTTCGGAGAGACCCTGGGTCAGAATTGCCCAGATAAGTCACTCCTAAATCCTTGACCCACAGAATCTGTGAAATCATGAATGTTTGTTGTTTTAAGCCACTAAGTTATGGGGTAACTTGCCAAGGCAGCAATAAGTAAATACATTGTGCAGGTGACATCTGTTAAACAGTTTTAAGTAATGATTTAACGATTTCTGCCAGCCATCAGAAAACTCTCCTAGATTTGCAAAATTTTGGAGCTGAAAGGACCCCAGGTCACCTGAGTCACCAGCATGATCAATATCCAGGCGGGTGGGGGGTGGGAGAGGCAGGTTTCAGAGTGAGGTTTAATGCTATGTGCATGAACACATCAGAACTCTTTCCAGAAACACAGAAAGTCTTAGGTTGTGCTGTGGAATTCATGATGTCCATCCTGAGGCCATGGGCTATTCTAGCTGCAGCAGGCACTGAGATGGGAGGATCCTGCACCACCAGACACCTGGAGGGGGGGACAAGGCAGGGTGAATAGAAATGTCCCTTCCACATGAAGCAGGGCTCTGTGAGTAGCCTGGGGACCTGTCCAGCATCAAGGGGCAGGGCCCACCCCACAATCACACAACCAAGGCTGCTGGCCTGGCAGCTCTGTTCCAATGGGCGGGAGGTACCCGGGAAGCCCACCCCAGAGCCTCACCCTCATGCAGGACTCTCCAGGGTGATGATCCTGGTAAGCCTCCCAGACCCACTGGTCTTCCACTGTCTAGCAGTCATGTGGCTCATTCACCCACAGCCGCCAGGCCAAGAACTTTAATGTGCCTGCCCAAACTTACCAGAGGGATCTGCAGAGGGTCAGTGTAATTAACTGTCCTTCTTAAACTTGCCGTTGATGTATGGCACCCAGTCCAGAATCAGCCGCCAGTCGGTGGCCCACACCAGCCCCACGGTGCCCACAGCACCCCACATGCCCACCGTGGGGATCCTGCAAGAGGAGAGTGGGCGGTCAGGCCCTGTCCCATGCTGTGGGCCTTGCAGGTTGAGCACACGGCAGATGACCCTGAAGCTCAAAGTGGTTGATGACTTGCCCATGCCACCAGCCCTCAGGGGGCTTGGGCTCGACACAGAGTCAATTCTGCCTCCCCAAGGACTGCTCCTGAGGCTACCATGGGCAGGGGCACAAGGGAGGTGGGGGGATGGCCCCAATGCTCCACCTTCACCTCTGTCTAAGCAACTCCATTCCAACCTGCTTTTGTCCTGAGGCTCTGTTTAAGGAGATTCTGCTAAAATAGAAAGTCAAGTTTACCACCACCTGTTTGAACACAGGGACAAGTGACGTATGCAGGTCACAGTAACTCACTGGTACCTGCAACAACCACAGGACTGAGGCAGGAGACTGAACAGCAGAGAGAGGGAGTCACTCACTTAAGGGCACATAGCTAGGGAGGCTCAGGGTGGGTTCCAAGTCCATGCTCTCGGCCACCACAGCATGAGATGATTGGGTTTTCCCAAGGGCCATGCTCATGTCCTGTGACTGGCAGAGCCTAGGATGGCTCCAGCAATCCCCCTCTTGGCTTTCACACCCTCATAGGGCCCAGTGACTGGACTCTAACAAGCAGAATGCAGCAGAAGCGATGGGTGTCACTTCCCAGACTAAGTTATAAAAAGGCGGTGGCATCCAGTACGGGAACCCTCAGTTACCCTCTTGCTCACTTTGGGGGAAGCTGGTTGCTGCGACATGAGCCACCTTGTGTAGGGGCCCATGTGCACAGAAACGGGGACAGCCTCTGGCCAGGAGCCATCGAAGAACCGAATCCTGCCAATGACCACATGGGTGAGCTTTGGAAACAGATTTTCCCATGAGACCACAGCCTCCTGAAAGACCCTGCATGGTGCCTGAATCCAGACCACGAAAACAAATGAACATTTGTTGTTTTAACCTGCTAAGTTTGGGGGGCCATTTGTTACACAGTAGTAGATAACTATTACAGGTCTCATCCTGAGTGCCCACCTCGCTGGATCACAGTAAACCATGAGCCTGGACATTTTGGGGGGTGGGCTGTTCTTTGAGGTGAGGAGGGGGATGAGCAACTCATGCCCACCCCACCCCAAGCTACCTCCCCAGGGACAACCCCTGGGCGCAGGCCAGGCACTGCTCACCACCGCGTGGCCCGTACAGCTCAACTCTGTGCCTCAGTGGAGTCACCAACTACTGCTGCTATGGGAACCTGGCTCTTGGGCAGGTGTCACCAACAGAGTGGGAATCTTCCCTCTCTCAGCTCCACAGCTTTGTGGTGTATCTCCGATCAGTGGAGCCTTCCCTCTTGGGAAAACATGCTTGGTAGACCGTCATCCACCTGCCCCATTATGGTGGTCACTCCATTGGGTGGGACTTAGCGGACTTGCACAGTACAGGAAGAGCCCAATAAGCGTGACGTCTGCCAGGCACAGGCTCAGAGAGTCTGAGACAGCCCACAGTGCCTCCTAGGTTAGAGACCCGCTTCCTGGCCTCCCAAAGCACCCCCCCCACCATGTTTCATCTCATTTGTTTGCTTTTTTTTGCCCACCCAATAGAATGTTAGCCCACGAGGGTTTTGTTGATTGTTGTCTTTAGCACACGGCAAGTGCTCAATAAATGCTTGTTGCTGTAAAGAAAGCACAGATGAGGGGTGGTCACTGCTCTGACCACGCACAGATGAGAATGGACCAATGGCCTTCGGGAGGGGCTGCACTGATTCCATGGGCCATGGGTCCCCAGCTGTAAAATGCCACCATCAGCTTCCGCCTGCCGGCCCTGCCAGCTCTACTGTCCCCACCCCCCCCAGCTCTGGGACACACTGCGAAGCACCAGTCCTTGTTTGAGTCCTAGGCGTGGGAACCAGACACCCTGCAGAGGTCACCCCAATCCCAGCCCGCCTCCCACGTGGCACCGGGGACAGTTGCAGCTGCGGGTTTTACACTCCTCATTTTTAAAAATCTAGAATAAATACAAAGCCATAACTGTACAAGCTTAGTGTCAAGCCCAAAGCTGCCGGGGACTCAGCGGTGGGTGGGGATGGGGAAACTGAGGCTCGGAGCAGCTCAGCCCCCTGGGCCGGGGATGCCGGGGTTTGGCCTCGGATCGCCCCGTCCGTCCGCTGCGCCCCGGGACAGACCGCTTCAACTCCCTGGCCCTCAGTTTCCCCATCCGTCACCCCGGCGCGGCCCCCAGAGCGTGAGGCGGCGGCCGCGCGGGGCCGGCCGGGGCGGAAG